CAGCGGCGCACGCATCAAAAGACACATCGGGGTGCCCGATGCCCGGGGCCTCCTCGTGATCTTCGAGCCTGCATCCTCGGACATTCCCAGATCCTCGCTCCGTCATCCTCGATCCTTCTCTTCCTCTTTCCTCCTCCTCCTCCTCCTCCTCCTCTTCGATCCTCTATGCTTCTCTCTCGATCCGTTCTTTTCTCCTCGTTCTCCTCGTGTTCCTCCCGTCCTGGTGTGGAGCAGCCCCGTTCAAGTGAAGAGACACAAACCAAGTGATACGACCACGTCGATGAGGGCTTCTGTCCTAAGATCTCGGGCGGACGTCTCGTCCCCAGCGGGGCTCTTCCTGAGCCAGCCTGGCCACCGACGATGGGCACGCAGGCGTGCATGGGGGCACTGCCCCAGCACCTGCGCAGGATGCCGATGGCGAGTACTGCCCCCTGGCCGGCTCGCGGGAGCACGGGCCCCAGCACGCGCGCACGCTGTCCGACCTTCCGACCGATGGAGCTCACAGGGGTGCCTCGGGGAGGCCGAGTGGTCGGCGCTTCGGGGGCACGCGCCGAGTTGTCGGCCGGGCCGGAGGCCCCCCCGCAGGGCCCCGGAGGGCCCTCGTCTTTCCAGCCGGAGGAGGAGGAGGGGAGGAGGAGGAGGAAAAGGCGGAGGAAGATGAGGAGGATGAGGATGAGGAGGGGGAGGAGGAGGAGGAGGAGGAGGAGGAGGAGGAGGAGGAGGAGGAGGAGGAGGTTCGAGCCGTGTGCCGACGTCGAGGGCTGCTGCCCGCGCGCAGGTGCATGTTTCAGCTCGGAGACTCCGAGGAGGAAAAGGCACCCACCCCTCTACCCCCTCGCCCGTTTTCCGGCTCGTCGCCACTGCTGGATTCGCCTCGAAATTTTGGTCAGAACGCACCCCGGGAGAGGTCCGGGGGGGTAGCGGTATTGGTACCTTTTGGTTTCCCGAGGAGACTGTGCTCTAGATTCCCGTTCCGGGCCTCCAAGACCCCCAAGCCTGTCCTTGCAGGACGGCGCGGCGGCTCTGACACGTTTGTTAACCCTCTGGAAGGTCAAAAGGGCAGTGGGCACCCTGCCCAGAGTTTTCAGTGCATGCTTCATCGTCGTCCCCCTTCCCCCCCTCCCCCTCCTCGTCTTCCTCCCTCCTTCTCGTCTTCCTCCTCATCCTCTCGCCCCCTGCTCCTCCTCCCCCACCCTCTTCCTCCTCTCTCCTCCCTCATTCCTCCCTCTCCTCCGTCTTCTTGCCCCCTCCCGCCCTCAAGTTAGAGCTTCAAGCATTGTCCTGGGGTCTTGTACCCTCCTCCTCCCAATTCTTCTCCTGGTCATTCTCATTCCCCCCGTCCCCCCGCTTCCCTCCCTCCTCCCTCCTCCTCCTCCTCCTCCTCCTCCTCCTCCCCTTCCTGCAAGCCGCCTCGCGTTCTCGTGAGAGGATCGATCCCACAGCCCGGAGAACTGTGCATGTGGGGTCCAAGGAGAGCAACAGCAATCGTATTCACACTCATCCATCTTTGTTCTTTTCTCAGCCGGCACTGCCAATTCTCATGGCCAGGACGCCTAGGCCCAGCCATTGCGGCGCGCCGCTCAGCCATGCACAGCGGTGCCCATCGTTCCTGTCCCACCCGTCAGGAGGCAGTGCCGGCCAGCGGTCATCCCAGACTCTCTGTCATCTTTCTCTGCAGCCAGCCGCCTTTCACTTGTGTGTGTGGGGAGTGTGCGAGGGGGATGTGTAGGGGGGAGGAGGCGGAGGTGTGGGAGTCGTGAAGGAAGGTCCACAGCGGCGGGGGGCACCACACAGGAGGCAGCCCTACGGGCCACAGTGCTCAGGGCTTGCATCCGTGTCTCACCCAGGGGCTGGCAAACTTGGCCGTAGTTGACCAGCAGACCCCCCAAAGGCCTTATCCGTACACTACGTTGGCCATGCACACGCATCGAGGTTATTGCTTTCTCCAGGTGACCCAATGAGTTGAATAGGGTTCCGACTTGGCGAAGCACGACACAGCTTGAATTGAAGGCACGTGCTGCACAGGAAGTGCACGGCCGGCTACGAATGGAAGAGCAGCCCCAGCGGGCACGGAGCAACGTAGCGCCCTGTCCTTTCTCTTATCCTTCTCATCTTCCTCCCTCTTTTTACCTCCTCCCCCTTTCCCTTCCCACCCTCCTGCGCAGTGCGGTGGGGCAACCGCCCCGCTGGGAGGCCCTACACAGCATCTGCAACATGTCGCGCGCATGTTGCGCCAAGCATTAAGTCGGGCCTGTCCCTCTCTACAGGGGGGATATTCAAAAGTAGTCAAAAATAGTCGGGCGATGATTTCATGACTATTTTTGAGCATTTGGGTAGCATATTTTGAGCATGTTTAACTTATCGCGCAAAATCCCCCAGTAGGGGGACAGGCCCGACCTAAGCCAATCACCCCGCGTGCTATCAAAGCGTCATTTGTCGCGCAGATGGTCTTAGGTCCTACCACCGGTGGCAGCAGACACCCCGCGGGCAGTCAAACCGCCCCATGCCCCGAGAGGTGTGCCACAGGCTGCACCGCAGGCTTCGCCAGGTACCCCACAGGCAATCAAATCATCTGTCGGTCCATGCTTGTGAGTGTGTGTGTGTGTGAGTGTGTGTGGGAGTACGACCTTCTGGTGTTACGCACAACGTTTGTGCAACGTTCGCTGCCTGAGGACGTAGAGCTCCAGACCTGCGAGGGAGGATGAGCAGGGGGGAGCGGGACACCTATCCCGTTCGCCGCCGTCCACGGCGTGGCAGCATGGTGAGCAGGAGTTGGAGCAGGAGGGCGGGGGCCGAAGAGGAGAAGAAAGAAGAGGAGGACGAAGAGGAGGAGGAGGAGGAGGGAGATGAGGAGGAGGAGGAGGAGGAGGAGGGAGGAGGAGGAGGAGGACGAGAAGGAGGAGGAGGACGAGGAGGAGGAGGAGGAGGAAGAGGCGGGAGGAGGAGGAGAGGATGAGAAGGAGGAGGAGGAGGCTGGAAGAGGAAGGCAGGTTGGGGGGTGATGCTGCTGATGATGATGATTCTGCTGCTGCTGATTACGAGCATGATAATGCTGATGGTGTTGCTAATGATGAGGATGACGACGACGATGATAACGGTGACGATGACGACGATGACGATGATGCTGATGATGATTATGACGATGATGCTGCTGATGACGGGTGTGGCGATGCTGTTGATAATGATGTTGGTGATGATGATGATGCTGGTGCTGATGCTGATGATGAGGATAACGATAATGATGCTGATGATGATCATCATGGTGGTGTTTGTGATAATGATGCTACTGCTGGTTGATGATGATGGTGATGATGACGATGATGCTGCTGATTATGACCATTGTGGCGCTGCTGATGACGATGGTGATGTTGTTGATACTGATGATGGTACTGATGATGATGTTGTTGATAGTGGTCATGATGACGATGATGATTGTGGGGCTGTTACTGCTGCGGCTGAGGATGTTGACGCTGATGACTATTCTGACTGGTGATTGCGATGGATCATGCTGCCGATGATGCTGGTGACAGTGATGGTGAAATTGATGATGATAATGTTGATGATGTTGATGATGTGGGTTTTGAGGATGAGGATGATGCTGAGGATGCGGATCAGGATGAGGATCACGATGCTGATGCTGATAATGATGAGGATGAGGATGATGATAATGATGGTGATGATGATGCTGCTGATGATTCTGATCATGATGATGATGATGATGATGATGATGAAGATGATGATGATGATGATGATGATGATGATGATAATGATTCTGATGATGATGATGATGAAGTTGATAATTATGCTGCCTATGATGATGATGATGATGACCATGCTCATGATGATGTTGCTGCTGATGATGGTGATGCTGATGCTGATGATGCTGTTGTTGATGATGATGCTGCTGATGAGGATGCGGATGAGGATGATGATAACGAGGATGATGATGATTACGATGATGATGATGATGATGATGATGATGATGATGATGATGATGCTGATGCTGATGATGATGATGATGATGGTGATGATGATGATGCTGATGATGATGAAAATGATGATGATGATGATGATGATGATGATGATGATGATGATGATGATGATGATGATGATGATGATGATGGTGCTGGTGAGCGGGAGGAGGAGGAGTAGGAGGAGGAGGAGGAGGAGAGGAACCGGAGAAACCAGAGGAACCGGAGAAACGCAGCCAGGGTGAAGGCGCAGTCTGAGGAAGGGGGCGGAGGGGTTGGAGGAGGAGCAGGAGGAGGAGGTGGCGGAGGAGGAGGAGGAGGAGGAGGAGGAGGAGGAGGAGGAGGAGGAGGAGGTGGTGGTGGTGGTGGTGGTGGTGGTGTGTGCGCGCGCGCTTGTGGTTTGTGGTGTGTGTGTGTGTGTGTTTGTGTTTGTGTGTGTGTGTGTGTGTGTGCGAGTGTGTGCGTGCGTGCGTGCGTGCGTGTGTGGCGTGCGTTTGTGTGTGTGTGTGTGTGTGTGTTCGCGTGTGTGTGTGTGTGTTGTGTATGCGGCGTGATGTGTGTGTGTGTGTGTGTGCGTAGGGGGTGGCGGGCTGCGCGCACGCGTGCGTGTGCGTGAGTGTGTGTGTGTGTTGTGTGTGTGCGTGTGTGTGAGCGCGCGCGAGTGTGTGTGTGTGTGCTTGTGGTGTGTGTATGTGTGTGTGTGTGCGTGTGCGTGTGTGTGTGTGTGTGGGGGTGTGTGTTTGGTTTGGGGGGGGCGCGCGCTCTGGCGCGCCGCGCGCGCGCGCCCGTGTGTGTGTGTGTGTGTGTGTGTGTGCGTGCGTACGTGTGTGCGTGTTCGCGCGTGCGCGTGTTTGTATGTGTGTGCTGTGTTGTTTTGTGTGTGTGTGTGTGGGTATGTGTTGTGTTGTGTTTTGTGCCTGTGTGTGTGTGTGTGTTGTTTTGTGTGTGTGTGCGGGTATGTGCGTGCGTTTGCGGGTATGTGTATGTGCGTACGTGCGTGCGTGCGTGCGTGCGTGCGTGCGTGCGGCCATTTTGGCTCAAGCGTTTTTGGCACGGTGCGAGTCTGCTTACTATAGTTTTCCTTTCTCTCGCTTCCCACACACATACGCACCTGCCAGATTCCGCTTGCCTGTGGCGGCGCCCGGCTCATTGTTTCTCTCTCTTCTCGCTAGCGGTGCATGGGTTCCGTGGACGGTGTGAGGAGATCGCGATCACCCGGAAGGATGAACTCCGAGGAGATCAGGCGCTTGATCGAGGAATCCTCCACCAGGGCGGCCGAGAAGGCCGCAGACCTCGGAGCGAACAAAGCGCTGGAGGCCGTCCTGCCGAAGATTCAGGATATCGCCGAGACAGCGGCCACTGCGGCGGCCCGCAAGGTATGCGCAGAATCGGAGCAGAAGATGTCTCGCGAGCTCGCCGCTGTGCGGGCTCAGATGGCTACAGCATCGTCCATCGCGGGGGCTTCCACGAGCGGTGGCACCACGGCAACGGGAGGAGGTAACCGGTCCAGGCATGGTGACTTCATTCCGCAATGGGTGGAAATCAAAGGATATATTGCGAATTGGGATGCCAAGGAAGACACCGCCCTGCTCTCCCACGAGGTGGAGCAGTACGTCAACAAGCTGACTGCCAAGATGGATCCGGACAGCCATGCACTCATCGATACACAGGCCACCAAGAGGATCTACGACTCACGCACCTTCAACACGAAAATCCAGATGATGGTGAAAGATCACACGCGTGACAGATGCTGGGAACTCAAGGGTGCCATCGACAAGGCCATCAACACGGCGCCCGCTGACTTCACCATCAACTCCAGGACGGTCAGCGTGGTGGTCCAGCTTCCGCCCCACATGACCAATACCAACATGCAGAGCGCAAAATTTCATGGACTTGCCGAGCGTGCACGCATACCTCGGACCGCGTACAAGATCGACTACGTCAGGCCGAGCCGGGACGTTTGCCATCTCCACGTCCAGCACTTGGTTCCAGGTCGCCGCCCCAAGCGTCTGGCCACGTACGACGGCGACTGGGGCATCCAGCAGTCGGAGTGGGAAGACATGCGCACCGAGATCACCTACCAGAATGCGCTGCAGGAACTCCGCCGCGCCTGACGCTCCCTGCCCATGGGCCGCCTCCTGGGAAAGATCGACGGCTTGAAAGTTATACAGTGGAATATTGGGAAACTCTCCTTCGCGGAATTCCCAGAGGTGCTGTATGACCTTCGCAGGTGGTATGGGAGCCCGACGGTGGTGATCTGTTTGCAGGAAGTGTCCAACTGGCCGGAAGATCCGGAGCTACAAGGGTGGGAGATTCGACACGCCTACGAATCGCACGTAGCCTTGGTCTATCCAAGTGGGATGGCCGGTAATGTCACTAGCGATTTTTACCACGAAGGGCTAAGCTGTTGCGGGATGGCTTTTGGACCGATTGGCATCGCCACGAGTTACCTTCCGCAGACGGGACGCCCACCAACCGAACTTCGAGCAGCACTTCGCGACGCAGAAAAAGTCCATCATCATCTTCATCACCTCCGACATGTTAAACATCATATATTCGGGGGCGACCTCAATACGCATTTTCCTCACATCGAAAACATCATTGGTCCAGGTGCTGATTGCTCTTGGGGTTCTGGTCCTTATCTTGAACGGCAGCAACTTATTATCGAACTCTTGGGATATATTCGTTGTCCTCTCTCTTCTACATATGCCGACATCCCGGACCACACCACACACAGCCATCATGTACATCACACGCGTGGGGTTCTAGACTACATCGCCGTGTCGTCTCGTCTGACGTCCAGGTACGCCATCAGAAACCAGGCTGAACTCACAGCGCCGTCCGGCCGTCGCTTCGACCATTTTCCGATTATGGTGGTCATCTCCAGCTCCTCCTCCAACATCGGCTACGCGCTCAGGGAGCCCAGCGTCCGGGGGTGGTCCGTCGAAGACGCACATCTAGACAAATACCGAGAAACTGTCGAGGACGCTTTCCAGGAAGTCACCGAACTGGGGGGAGTATCCGAGGCAATTGCTTCCACAGCGCTGAACCTCCCATTCACGACAACTTCTTCGAGATCCCGGCGAATTCGGCAGAAACCCCCAATAGTGAAAGAGTTGGAGGCCGAGGAACGTGCATGCCCGATCGACGGCAAGCAGGAAGTCCGCAAAAGGCTACGGAAAGCACAACGTCAATGGAAACGCAGCATACTACGCCATACTACTCCCTCCGGTACAACTAAACTAAAGAAGCCTCTGTTGAAGTCTCTGCAGGGCCCCGATGGTACCCACGTTCATGATCACAGCATGTGGTACGACATCATACTTACGCACTGCACGAACATGTACATGGACCCGCACTGGTCGGATGACGACCTCGTTGCCCGCATCGCCGGTTTCTTGGAGCAAGTGGAGTCTTCAGGAGACGTGGAAATGCAGATATCAGATGTTCTGGCCGGCCTATCCGCCCTGAAGGCCGGTAGCACCCCGAGAATGGACAAAGTCACGACGGAAATGGTGAAGAATCTCCCCACGGAGGTGGTGTATAAGATAGGGGATTTCTTTCGTGCACGTTTTTCTGGAGGGGTGGGTGAGCCTGTTCAGGAGTGGTGCCGCGCTGTGGTTTTTTTCTTGGCCAAGTGTTCCCGGGCGAACTCGATGCAGCAGCTTCGGGGTATTAGTCTCACCAGCGTCATTCTCAAGTGGTATTCGTGCTCCATACTACATCTATTTTGGGACAGGGACGGGCCTCATAAACACATACACAGAGATATCTGCATTTTTGGGTTTACCCCTGGAATGGCATGTACACAGATCACTGAGACAATAAGGGTACTTCTGAGTAAGTCGTTTGAGTGGCCGGAGCACATTCCTGTTCACATCATTGTCGGGGACGTGCACAAAACATTCGATTTCATGCACCCGTCCATCGTCTCCGAAGCCCTTCGGGCATGCCGCCTGCCACCCCGTCTCGCCGCTGCCCTACTACGGGAAGGTCGGTCTATGGAGAACTGGGTGATGTTTGACGGTGTCTTGGAGCATTTACTTATACCCCAAAACGCGTCGGAACGACAGGGCACCCCAGAAGCACCAGTGAAATGGAACATTGTCACACAGAGTATCTTTGGCGATTTGGTACCTTCTTGGAAGTCTCGGGGCATGGGCGTGCGCCTCCATGACGAAATCTGGACCCACCTGTGTTGGGCAGACAACTTCTTCCTCCTCAGCGGCAGTGCGGAACACGCTGCCACCATGTTACAAGAGCTCACGACCAGGATGTCCACGTACGGCCTGCATTGGAAAGACGGTTCCCTGGAGTACATGAGCCCCGACCCGCATGCCCCGGAAAGTATCGCAATCAACGCCGTCTTCCCACCTGAGGGCTTCGGAGACCCTCCCCAACAGGGCCGGATGGTCGCGTCCAGGGTGACTTCTTCGGTACAGCTGGGTGTGTGCATCGCCGACACAGGATGTACAAAAGCCGCCATCGACCATCGCATCAGCAAAGCAATCAAACTCTTCTGGTCGGAACCGGCCTTCCGCTGTGCCGCTCTTCCCCGCAATGAGCGGCTCCGTCGCTTCAGCGAGTGCGTGGTCCCGTGTCTTCTTTACGGTTGTGACGGGTGGTTCGTATCCAAATGCGTACTCCAACGGCTCTCCCAGCTCGAAGGCGGTCTGCTGCGCCGCACGGCGCGCCTTCCTCGACGGCCCGGTGAGGAGTGGATCGACTACACACGTCGAACCACGCGAGCGGCGAGACAGCTGTACAGACAGAACGGCCACAAGACCGTAGGTGAGTTGATACTTACCCGTATCCATCGTCTTGCCTCCCACCTCTTCGACCCCAACCCGGAGCCAGCGGAGCCCGAACAGCTTCGTCCAGTCCAGGCTCGCTGGGTCAATGCAGTCTTCAGCTCCTGCGCGGAGGATGGTTGGCAAGTCACATCGGGAGTATATCGGGCGTTGGGAAGCTCTGGTCAGTTCTTGGACGAGGATGGCGTTTTACGAA